TAACTTTTCAACAATCTCAGGGCCATCGACGCACGTATGTTGGTGCAATGCCAGGGAAGATGGTGCAGTGTCTTAAATCAGTTGGGACAGCAAATCCTCTAGTATTGATAGATGAGATTGACAAGGTGCTCAAACAACTGGTTATGGTCCATTTGGTCTTATTTTGCTTGAGATGCTAAATTGCTAATAATAGCCTGCATTATATACTTGCATAATGGCCTGTGATGCACTTGAGTCTTTGACACAGAATGGACTTTCAACAGTTACTTTCTTCAATGTGACAACTTGTGTGCATGCTTTATTAACGCTAACTTTTACTTGTCTGTCTTGCAGCTTGGGAAGGGGCATTCTGGCGATCCAGCTAGTGCATTGTTGGAACTCCTCGATCCTGAGCAGAATGTTAATTTCTTAGATCACTACCTTGATGTTCCTCTTGACCTATCCAAGGTTAGTCCTTGCTCCCTCAGGAGTTGCCTGTTTGACTGTTGGCTTCACAATTTAACCTTTTTTGCCATGTTTATTCTTTTAAATATAGACAACAAGCTTATTCTTAACAGATTGATAGTTGTCATCACCATCTCATTGTTTTGCATTCTCACGCATCTTGCTGTTATCATTAGGTACGCGCATTGCTGATTATTGTGCTATCACATCATTCACATGCAATGCTGCTAAGTGCTAGTGTACTACTGTAAGTTGTGATTAGTAGGTTGCACCAAAGCAACATCCTTAGTATTATGTTTTGTTCTATACGATGAGATCCGTAGCATTAGGATGGTCTTCGATACACTTCAAGTGCATAACTTCCACACAATCCTCTGCCTCTCCAACCTTTTTTTATTCCTGTTGTTTCGAGTGTCTTCAGTCGTGTTTAACTATTTATTTCATGCTACTTTCTGTTTGTAATATTCTTTTCATCTTCTAAAACTTTGTTTATGACAATTAGGTTCTGTTCGTTTGCACAGCAAACGTAATAGAGACGATACCAAATCCGTTACTGGATAGGATGGAGATCATTGCTATAGCGGGGTATATAACTGATGAAAAGATGCATATTGCTCGGGACTATCTGGAGAAGAATACAAGACAGGCTTGTGGCATAAAGCCTCAACAGGTAGCTTGGACACTTCTCTTATAATCTTCCTTTCATTCAATATTATGTGCATGAGAATAAATTATTAAGCATAGAATATTTGTTTTTAAAGCAATCTTGGAATTTCCATAAATAAAAAAACAAACAACACAAAGAAAGGGAAAAATTGTTGTAAACTCTATGCTTTTATAATGTCTGTATGCGTAAACCACCTAATCTATACTGACACAGTTTCAGCAGTATGTGAAGTGTCCCAATAGGCCAATACACTTGCTTCTTATTTCTGATTCTACGTTATTATCAATTTTGGACTTAACTGTTCAGCCATGCACATCTACAGGTTGAAGTTACAGATGCTGCTCTTCTTGCTCTCATTGAAAATTACTGCCGAGAAGCTGGAGTGAGGAACCTTCAAAAGCAGATTGAGAAAATTTACCGTAAGGTGTGTAAAATAATTTCTGCATACTGATCTGACCCCTCTATCAGAGAAGGGGAAAAATGTTGGCTGATTGTTGATAATGGTTAAGCAACCTCAAGGCATTGGTATGGTATGAAAGGTTGCTTTTAGTTTTAGAGTCAATGCTTCCATTAATATCTTCTGCTCGCCAATATGATCATGCCATACATCCTTTGCTGGCCGATATGATCACACTCTTACTTCTGAAATACCTTACAAACTTTTTACCTCCGCAGATAGCTCTGCAGCTTGTTCGCCAAGGGGTATCGAATGAGCCAGACCAGGAGTCTCTCAGCGTCACTGTAAGTGAGGAATCTAGTAGTGGTGATAGCACCACAGCAAAAGATGAGATTTTGAAGGATCCTGCTGTAGAAGATGCTTCAGTCGCCAATAATGTTACAAATCCTGCCTCTGAGGAAGCTAATGAAGTAAATTTGACAACTGAAGCACCAAAAGAAGACAGCACATCTAAGGTATAGTGTGTCATTCGTTGGTTTTATTATTTTTTCAAATAAAGTATTCACACTTAATTTTGTACTGCGCTGTTGCCTGTTAATGTGCAAAATGGTCCTCTACATTGTATCTGTTCTGCTGATTGACACACTGCTTATCCTTGTGTATGGCAGCCAGGTATTGTTGGTTGGTCAAATATAATTTTGTAGATTACTGGACATCAATGTTCCCTGTCTGTGTCCATTGTGTTGGCCTGAAAATCACTTATGCGATTGCTAGCTCACTCAACAAATGTGCAATATAGACTCAGGAGAGTGGGAAACAAATCAAACAATATTATATTATGATGTTAGTTACTGATTCCTGTATTCTGTAGGGCAACAAGGACACAGATGGAGCAGCAGACAAGGCAATTGAAAAGGTTGTGGTCGATTCATCAAACCTTGGCGATTTTGTTGGGAAACCTGTGTTCCAGGCTGAGCGTATATATGAGCAGACGCCTGTTGGAGTGGTCATGGGTTTAGCTTGGACTGCTATGGGTGGTTCTACTTTGTACATCGAAACAACAAAAGTGGAGGGGGAAGGGAAAGGTGACCTTGTGCTGACGGGACAGCTTGGAGATGTCATGAAAGAGAGTGCTCAGATAGCGCACACAGTTGGCAGAGCTGTATTACTGGAGAAAGAGCCAGATAATCAGTTCTTTGCAAACTCGAAGCTGCACTTGCATGTTCCTGCAGGGTCCACCCCTAAGGATGGCCCTAGTGCTGGATGCACCATGATAACATCTATGCTGTCCTTAGCTATGGGAAAGCCTGTCAAGAAGGACCTCGCAATGACGGGTGAAGTAACATTAACAGGAAGAATCCTCCCAATCGGCGGGGTATGTTTTCTTTGTTCCCTACTCAAGCTTGGTTTTACATTTTAAATGTATTGTTTTTAGTCAAACATGACCAGCCAGCCAATGACTTCTGCATGTGAAACGAGGAAATGTCACTTGACTGAAAAATATGAAGTGGTTTCCTTGTTTCATCTTCGAGCCTCCTGATATAATGAGAGGCTTACAGCCTGTTCGTTTCGGCTTATATGATCGTGGATTATAAGCTGGAACAGTATTTTTCTCTCACACCAAACCAGCCAGCAGTACTTCTGGCTTATAATCCACGATCGTTTCAGCCGAAACGAACAGGCTGTTAGTTTTCAGATGCTAGCTGACATCCAAGCAGATGACAGTGCCTTAATGAGTTAATGTTAACATCCATGCGCTTCAGCATGCCATGATAATATCAATATGGTTTCATGCATCGGATTGTTTCTTCTCTATATATCAGGTAAAAGAGAAAACGATTGCTGCAAGGAGAAGTGCGATAAAGACACTCATATTTCCAGCAGCGAATAAAAGGGACTTTGACGAGCTTGCTTCCAATGTGAAGGAAGGCCTCGAAGTTCATTTTGTTGACACATACCGTGAAATATATGATTTAGCTTTCCAGAGTGACGCCGGGACAGAAACAAGCTGAGATGATTTAGCTTTACAAGATTGAGAATTTTTTTCCAGACCTGTTTACAAGCCAAATACCAAGCAGAGGCAGGAAGACCATTGTAACCGAGATGAGTGTAGTTACTTGACAGTCACGAGAAAAAGAAATCTTTTTTGCTCCCCAGATAACACCATTGAATTTTGAAGAGATTTTTGGCTAAGGTTGTACTAGTGTGCTAGCTCAGCTAGGTTGTATTAGCCTATATATAGGAATAAGAAAAGAGCAGCGTAAACTATATATCGTACCACACTTTGTTATCCGTGAAAGCAGCACTGATGCACCATCTGTTATTTATTTATTTATTTATTAGAGTGGTGCACCATTTGTTATTCGTTAAATTTATTTTGGTGAGTGTTGGCCAGTCTTCTAGTTTACTCCTATTGTACAAACAGTTGGGCAGTAGGGTGCTAGTTGTTTTGTTTTTTTTAAATTCGTTCTGTACGTATGCGTGAGCGTGGACAGTGGAGTGAGCCGGTCCGGTCTTGCGCTTGCGCGTGCGAGCTGTTTCAGCCTGCAGGTCGGGCAGGGATTGAACTTGAACGGAAGTCGGAACTCGGAACTCGGAACGTACGGCTTCAAGTCGACTGCAGGCTGGGCCGGCCGGTCCGGTCCACCGTCACCCTCAAGCTGCCCATTTTTATTCGGATCCGGCGGTCGATTCGCCTCCGGTCTCTGATCCGCCGCCACGGTGACTCCTCCCTCTCCTCGTCTCCGATTTCGATTCCGCGCCCGGTCATAGGTGAAAGTCCGACTCCTCCCCTCTTCTCATCTCGTATCCCAAATTCCCAATCCATCATGTTTGTTGATGTATCTAAACGTGCTGCAGGCATCTGCCATCCATAAAATTCAAGATGAGTTAAATATGCCGGGGGTCCATAAATTTGTTATGGTGTACCACTTAGGTTGATGAACTCGAAAAATATATTTATAGGTCACCTAACTTGTTTTTCTAGTGGACCATAGGTCCATACTGCTCCGTCAGCGATTTCTTGTCGATGTGGCATGACAACGTGGCATCTTCTTTTACATCTAACCCCTCACACTTATTTCTTCTTTTACAGTACGACGGGCACGTGCATGGCCGCGTGAACGACACGCTCCACCGCGCACGGTAAGCAGCAGCATACCAGGGAGCACTCCTGGATCAGGTGATTGCGGCCCCGCGGACAGTGGCGTGGTTGCTGCTCGCCGCGTACCTGCAGTTTGATTTCGGCCGGCAGTGGCACCAGGAGCGGTTCCTTGCGCCGCTGAGGCTTTGTGGACGCTCTTCATGCTGCTCTCAGTCGCCGTCGTTGCTTACGCGGAGACGAGTCTCGACGGGTAACGGGTTCCCCATGCCCGGTCGCGCCATCTCTGTTATTGCACCAGTGGTTCTACTCTCAGCTAGCTAGGTTCCTGGGAAGGAGAGCCGGATAAGGCCATGCTTCCGAACCAATGCTGAACGGCGTGCAGTACCTCAATGGCGAAGAGAACTAGGTACGCGAGCAAGGGGCAACTCCCTGTCCTCGCCTTCATCTTGGGCAAGGCATGCATTCGAGTGCCTGTCCAGTCACCATTCCTCACCCACCACTACCTCCCCATCAACGCGGCGTCCTCGGCGGCCAACCGCGACCACAGGATCCGGCGCATGAAGCGCGCGCTGGACGCGGCCGACCTTGAGCTCGTCAAGATGATGGTCATGGGCGAAGGGCTGGACCTCGATGACGCGCTCGCCGTGCACTATGTCGTCCAGCACTGCGGCCGCGACGTCGTCAAGGCGCTGCCGACGTCAACTCCCGCGCCGGGCCCGTGGGGTCGCGGGGAAGACGGCGCTGCACCTGGCGGCCGAGATGGTGTCCCCCGACATGGTGTCGGTGCTCCTCGACCACCACGCCGACCCCAATGCCAGGACACTCGACGGCGTCACCCCGCTCGACGTGCTCCGCAGCCGCACCTCCGAGTTCATCTTCAAGGGCGCCCTCCCGGGGCTCACGCACATCGAGCCCAACAAGTTCAGGCTCTGCCTCGAGCTCGTGCAGTCCGCGGTGATGGTGGACATACGCTTGTCATTCGCATCGTCCTCGCACAACAACCTCAGCCGCGAAGCCGAGCCTGGCAAGTTGTTTTTCTCCTTGGCCTCTTCCTCCGCGCCTCTCTTGCCGGGCGCCGCATCTGTTCCGCCGCATCCTGCCGGGTCAGCGCGTGGAAGAAGTAGGAGCGGCGACGAGCGCTTTGTTCCTGGCTGTAAGGGTTTAGATGCAAAAGAACATGCCACGTTGGAAGCCGTGTAAGCAAGAAAACGCTGACGAAGCCGTATCGACATGTAGTGCACTATTTAATAAGTTAGGTGATCTATAAATACATTTTCAGAGTTTATAGACCTATGTGATACACAGTGACAAGTTCATGTAGCCTGGTGCATTTAACTCATTCAAGATTATTACCAGGCGGGATCAGGAGGTGGGGCGGCACGATGTCCAGTAAGCGGCGAGCCATAGGCTAGTATGACGAGCCGAGGCCAAGCCGCCGCCGCCGCCATCGACACGCCGCAGGCCGCCGTAAGCACCTGTACCTGGTGCTGGATGACTGGAACAATGGCTTCAGTATCCACAAGATTGATCCCCCCGACACTTTGGATGACGAAGCACCTGCCGGTGCCGGGCAGTAGCACCTGCACCTCCCCGAGCCCCCAGTGCTGCGGCTAGAGTCACCGATCAGCTCCGTACCCCATGACCGTTTGTCCTTCTCCGCGCTAGGCACCAAGATGTTGGTTTTCATGAACCACCGTTGCGCCCTCGTGTACACACCGAGATGGCGGCGGTGTCCATCGGCCCCCACGCCCCTGCTGCAGATGTTGTGCGGCTCCGGCGTCACCGTGCCTGCTGGCGGCATGCTCTACGCATTGTCGCATCGCTCCTTCGACAAGGAGGATCCGCACTCGTTACAGGTGATGTCGTGGACGACACCTCCAGCCCGGCCGCGGTTGGGGCCGAGCATGATGCAGCAGGTGTTGGCCCACAAGATCACCGACTCAGGTGAGTGAACTACTCACCGGTCTTGTCGAGCACCCGTTAGTGTTGCCGAGCACCCACTAGCCGTGCCGACCACGAACAAGCGTTGTCCGTCCCCACGCACTATGGTTAGAGCTTGAAGAAGAAGGGAGAACAGAGCATACACACACAGTACAAGACACCAACGTTGGCTGAAGTCCTGTCTGAGAGATGGCAAATCTGAATTCTATCCATCTAGTCCTAGTACAACGCACATGCTGTAATAGTAACTAGATAACATACAGGGCTGACTCTACGCCGGTCTCTGCATGTGGCTACAGTGCTGCAGATGAGCCGTGCGGCGCCTGCAGCGCCTACAGTATCACAACAGGGGTCCTTTCGGCGCCGCCTTCCTTTGCTGTGTTCACATAAGGTAGCAGTAGATTATCTAATAATCTTTTTCTAATCTTATTGCTAACCCTTGTACCCCCTCCATGTTGATCATCTCCTTCAGCTCCGTGAGTCGAAGACGTCCGAGCGGCTTGGTGAGGACGTCCGCGAGTTGCCGACCAGTTTTGACGAATTCGATGACGATCTGCCCTCCATTGACACAGTCCCTGAGGAAGTGAAACTTCACGTCGATGTGTTTACTCCGGTCGTGCAGAACCGGATTCTTCGCGAGGGCGATGGCGGGCTGGTTGTCCACCATCAGTGCTGGTGGATGAGCTTCCACACCGGTCAGCTCGCCCAGCAGCCGGCGCAGCCACACAACTTGGCACGCCGCTGTGGCCGCCGCTACGTACTCTGCCTCGCACATAGATACCGTCATCACCTTCTGTTTCAGCGACAGCCGACCCGAGGAAGACGAGCACGCCAGAGGTGCTCCGTCGTCCGTCGATGTCCCCCGCCATGTCTGCATCGCGGAACACAGTGAGCTGCAGCCTACTCCCGTCGGTCTTGGGAAAGATAATCCCCTGATCCACCGTCCCTTTGACGTAGCGCAGTAGCCGCTTCACCGAAGCCCAGTGATCCTCTCTAGGATCCTCCATGAAGTGACTGACGTAGCCCATGGTGAACGCAATGTCCGGCCTCGTATGGACTAGGTAGCACAGACCGACGACGATGCTCCGGTAGAGTGTTGCATCCACCTTCGCCGCGGCGCTGGCCTTCGTCAGCTTCAGCCGCTCCTCCATCGGAGTCACGCATGGCTTGCACTCAGTCATGCCGCTCCTCTCCAACAGCTTTGAGGCATACGCGCTCTGACCGAGCGTGAGTTCCTCCTTCCCCTGTCTCACCTCGATGCCGAGGTAGTAGGAGAGTGCGCCGAGATCGCTCATTCGAAAACGAGCCGCCATCTCGCGCTTGAAGCTGTTGATGTCTTCCGTGCACGCACCGGTGACGATCAAGTCATCCACATGCACGTCGACGACGAGCTCCTCCTTCCCCATCGCCACGTGTAGAGCGCGTGCTTGGTTGCGCACCTCTGAAACTCAAGCTCGCCCAGCGTGGCGTCAAGCTTGGCGTTCCATGCTCGTGGGGCATGCCGCAGCCTGTAGAGCGCCTTACGCAGTCGGAGCACCCTGTGCTCCTCTCCCTTGACGGCGAAACCTGGAGGTTGCCTAACGAAGACCGTCTCCGCCAGTTCGTCGTTGAGTAAGGCCGATTTAACGTCCAGGTGATGGACGCGCCAGTCCTTTGGTACTGCCAAGGCTAGTAGCAAACAGACCGACTCCATACGCGCTACTGGTGCAAAGACCTCCTCGAAGTCTATGCCCTCGCGCTGAACAAAGCCTCGGGTGACGAGGCGCGCCTTGTGTTTGACGATGGCGCCGAGCTCGTCCCGTTTGACCTTGTACACCCACTTCAGGCTGATCGAACGACATCTTAGAGGTGGATCGACGAGCTGCCAAGTCTCGTTTTTCTCGATCGCCTTCATCTCCTCCAGCATCGCCTGTCGTCAGTTTTCTTCGCAAGTCGAAGAACACCAAGTCCAAGTCGAAGAACACCCACTTCAGGCTGAGCGAAGCCGAAGAAGCGCAAGTCGAGAACACCAAGTCCACCCAATGTTGTCGGCCTGCAGACCACAGGCCAAGCGAGCTTGCACTTGCCACCGGTGGTCGCTGTGGTGCCGGACCAGAGGAACGCGCGGTGGCGTTTGTCAATCTGACCCAATGCCCAGCTGGACAAGCAGCATGATATGCTCATGTGGACTGGGATCACCGAGAGAGTCACCTTTGTGAGCAAAACGCGTCCAGCATGTGTGAGCAGCCCTGCCTTCCAAGTCGGGATCTCATCGGCTCGCCGCAACCGGCGCAGCGACAGTGGGACGCCAAGGTACCTGCAGGGGAATGGCGCGACGACGCAAGGGAAGGTCTCTGCTGGACGGCCGCCATCATTTCCTCAGAGCACTGAATCGGCGTGGCTACACACTTATCGACGTTGGTGACAAGACCCGATGCTCCGGCGAAGAGCTGTAGGATCTCAATCACACACTGCAGGTCTTCTGTGTTCGGGGCGACAAGGAGCACCAGGTCGTCATCGGCATAGAGTGACGCGCGATGGACGATGCCGATGGCATTCCCGGGCAACGGTGTTAGCACCAGGCGACGGTCAGCTTCTCTGATGAGTGAATTAAGAGCTTCCATGGCGATGACAAACAGCATCGGAGATATGGGGTCGCCCTGCCTTAGTCCCCTCGCATGGATTATTCTTCTGCCTGCTTTCCCATTAACAAGGACCTTGGTACTTGCAGTGGACAGTAGGATAGAAATCCAGTTAGTCCAACGCCGCGGGAATCCGATATGCTGCAGCACCTCAAGTAAGAAAGGCCATGCGACAGAGTCGAACGCCTTTGCGATGTCAATCTTAAGAAGCACGACTGGGAACTTCCTACAGTGCAGCCAACGGCATGCCAATTGCACAGCCCTGAAATTGTCATGGATCGAGCGTTCTCGAATGAAGGCACTTTGGTTGGGCGCAACGATTTCCTTTAGCCTCGGCGCCAACCGCCTAGCCAAGCACTTGGCAAATAGCTTGCTGAAACTGTGCATGAGGCTGATCGGCCTATAGTCCTTGAGGCGCGTCGGGGCGCTGTTCTTCCGTAACAGCACCATGAGGGCGTCATTGAGTTGGTAGAAGCTCCTAGCGTCGAGCGACCAAAGTGCGTTGAACGCACTGATGACATCTTGTTTGATAATCGGCCAAGCCACCTTGTAGAACAGCCCTGAGAAGCCGTCCGGTCCCGGCGCACGGTCTGACGGGAGGTCTCTGATGGTGTCCCAGATTTCTTGCTCAGAAAAGCAAGCGTCAATGCCTGTTAGGTCGATCTGCGGCAGCAGTTCGTCAAGGTGCAGTGCATGCTGCCGCTGAAATGGAGTGCCCAGGATGTTGTTGTAATAGGTGTAGATCAGATCCTGCTTAGCTTCTTCCGCTGAAAACCAGCTGCCCTCATGTTGCACAGCGGCAATGAAAATTTTCCGACTTCGGTGGCAGGCTTGCAAATGAAAGAATTCGGTGTTGGCGTCGCCTTCGCCAAGAAACCTGATCCGGGATCGTTGCCGTGCGATCGTTCGGTTGAGAGAGGCAAGGCCCAAGCAGCGGCCTTTTAGCTCGGCCCGAATGGTCCGTTCCTCCTCAGAGAGTAACCTGGACTCCTGGGCCTTATCCAGCTGCGCGATCAGCTCTCTAGCCATGAACAATTGCTGTCGTACACTGCCGACATTGCGCATGCTCCAACCTTTCAGTGCCTTTGCCGTTTGTCTTAGCTTGATATCAAGCCTGCGGCAAGCGTCGACATTTGGCGGGTTTAGATCCCACGCTTGCTGAACAACCTCCGTGTCAACATGGACGCCGAGGCGCTTCATCATTACTTTGCGTGCCTGAGCTTCCGGCCGTGGTTCCCTGTGTTTGCTCTTCGCCGCCAGTCTTGCACTCCGCTTCGGGATGAGCTCCTCGTCGCTGGGTTCCCGAGCCGCAGCCCTGGTCGCTTGAGTCTGCCGCAGCTGCGGTGTCGACAAGATGATCGGTGGCTCCAGCTGCTTCTTGAAGGATGAGACGAAGTCAACAGTCGTCATGGGCCTGGGTGGCTCCACGTCGTTAGACTATCTCCAACAGCCCTGAGGCAAACACGATACGCATTCAGAGATTTGGGCCACTAATCTTGCACTCCTCCCTCCCGGACGCCACATCCACCGGCGGCGGCGGCGGAGCCGGTGTGGCACTCCATGGCCACGACGTGCTTGTCGTGCATCGCGGCCAGCTAGATCCAGCATGCGGCTAAGAATAGGCGTTGGGCATGGGAGTGGCCAAGTTCAAATCCACCGGCGTAGCACCAGGGCACATAGCAGAACGCGAAAAATCCGCTGAAGCTAGGTCCAGCATGCGGCCAAGAATACGCTTTGGCCATGCGGGTGGCCAAGTTCAAATCCGTCGTAGCATAGGCGCAGCATGCGAGCAGCCGGGGCCAAATCCATGGGCAGAGAGGAGAGCTGGGACCGGCGAAGAAGGAGGGTGGGGTTGGAGCGAGATCCGTACCTGCGAAGTCAAGCTCAGTGCAGATCTCGCCGACGGCGAAGCTTCGCCCGGTGCGCTCTCCTCTTCTTTCCCCCTCCCTCGCCCGCGAAACGGTTGTGCGTAGATATTTCGGTTGAGGAGAGAGACGGAGAGAGGGGACGCATTTTTTGGTTCCGACAGACCACCGACGCAAAATGGGTCTCGCGTTTACCTCCGCTGTTGGACTCTGAGTTTTTCGCTTAAAGCAACGTAGACCACCCATTTTTTGGTTTGGGTAGCGTAATAGCTATCCTGTTGGAGGCAGTCTTACGGGTGGCAGCATCCACCCACAACCAATTGTGGTCGGCGGCCACGGGCGGATCCCCGGATGGAACCAGGCCTGGCTCCGTGGGGAGGTCCTTGGACAGCATCGGATCGACGTCGGCCGGGAAACAGGCTCCAGCCTGGTCGCACTGCCCCGGCCCAGGCGATGGAGGCCCAGACGAACAGTCTTCGGGCCCCGAGCAACAGATGTCCACCTCGAGGTCTTCCAACGACAGCGACTAGGCCGTTGGCCCAACATCACCGTTGCCGCCGAACAACAGGTCAGGCCCATCCTCCGACCAGGACGGCCCGCGAAGCTTCCGAGCGTTGAACAGGTCCCCATCCACCGCTAGGGCGGACCCCACAAAGCCATGCCGCGGGGCACAGGATGAGCGTGCGCGGCGCGGACAGATGTCAATGGAGTGGCGGGTGTCGCTGTCGCAGTCCCTGCGGCACGAACGTGGCGTGCACAGCTGAAAGTGCAATCAAGCCCTAATTGTGGGTTTTGGTGATAATTATCACGTAATTAGAGGACTAATGAGATTTATCGAGATGACAAGCAGGGAATCTATAATCGAGGATGTTATATGAAACGGAGGAGCCCCAAATTACAAATATTGATGGCTTCAAATTCAAAGGAGGTTTAAATTCTTTTCTATTTTGAATTTGAGTATTGGAAAAACCATACTATAAAGGGGGACACAATGCTTAAGCTAACATGTGCTACCAAGTTCTCTATCCTACACATATATCCTCAGTTTCACAGCCAAGACAGCCAGCACTTCACTCTTATCCTTGCTGTCTTGCCTGGTGCGGCAATGCCGCACATGGAGAGAGGCACTGCTACGACTTAAGTGACCGTTGAGGGCTGAGGGGTATTTATACATTTTCCCTTCCTCCCCAACATCTCTTTCTTCTTCCTCAACCATTCAGCTTGTGTAGAAATAGAAAAGTGCTTCTCTCTCTCCTCCATTGGTGACCTTGAGCTCCCAAGCTTCTCCATTGATTTCTCTATCAATCTTTGAGAGAAAAAGGTGTCAAACTCGATTAGAGAGCAGATCCACTGATTCTCAACCTCTAAATAGCACTTGGTTCACGTTTTGACCGGCAGTTGTGTTTGTTACTCTTGGAGCTTGGCTCCTAGCCGACTAGAGCGTCGTCCGTGGAGGTTACCAACTTTGTGTGGCAGCTCCGGAAGGTTTGTAACCACCTCTTGCAGCTAGTAAATTCACCCATCATCTCAGGAGTTAAGTCTTTTGACTTGAGAACGAGGAAGGGTTAGGAAGCCCTAAGCCTTAGGGGTTAACCTCAACAACGTGTATTTAGGCAAGCCTTAGTGACGAGCTCAACCACGGGATAAATCATTGTGTCACCTTGTGCTTGCTTTATATTCTTGTGATTCATATTGTTGTTGAGGTAATTTCTAGGTTTGAAATCGATCTACTTATGTGTGGTATTCCTATCATTTCTTGATGTTGATCTGTGTTCAATATACCTGTAGGGACTTCAGTAACCTCTTGAATCCAAGTTTCCTTTTATAGATTTTGAATTACGTCACGAAGTTGTCTACAGGTGCGGCAGTGCCGCTATTCTGGCTTGACAGTGCCACGGTGCGGCAGTGCCGCAGGTTGAATTTAACAAAAGTTTAAATTTTGTTTTAACAGGCCCTGTTCACCCTCCTCTACGCAGCGTCATCCACCATTGGGTCAACCGCTGCAAACCCGACAGAAAAGGGTGAGCCTGAGCACATGGCAACGAAGTCCACCTCCGCAACCAGGGGCTCCTCGACATGCGCCACAGGCGTGGCGTGAAATGCGTTGCTAGCACCGCAGCAGGGCATGGCGTTGCGCGGTGACTTGACAGGGCAGTTGACAGCACCAATTAGGATCGTGTCCCTTATTTCCTGCGCCTGGAAAGCTGGCCCGGAGACCCGCCCGAGACGCGGCTCGTCCGGACCGGCGAACCTTGTAGTCCGTGGTCGCGCACCGCCGCCAAAGCCCAGATGAAAGCCGTTATAGTTGCTGTCGTCGCTATCTTCATCGTCTCCGGCGCCGTAGAACTCATCGTCCGAAGAAGGCGTCGTCGTATGCCAGTCCTGAAACTCCACGATCCGAATGTGGACCAAATACCTGAGCGCGGGCACGTCATCATGAATGATTTCGTGCGGCCTAAGGTAGAGCGGCGAGCCACTGTCATGCTCCTCCTCTGGCTCCGGCACTGCCATGATGATCTCGTCTAGAACCAGGTCAGGATGGGCGCACCAGGTAGACACGAAGAACTCTCGCTCATCTTCCAGATAGGAGAGAGCGTCCGGGTCCGCAATCTCCACCTTGGCCCCAGCCGATCCCAGGATGGTTTGCGCTACCTCCGACGAGCGCGCATGCGAGGGGATACCCTTCATGCCGACGAGGACGCGGTAACGGAAGGCACCAGCCGATCCCATGATTAGACAGCTATAGCGTCGCCACCACAGCGCGAACGACACTCCCTCAGGCCTCTGGTTATAGAGGACGAGGTCAAGGTCCTCCTGGTGGCTGAACCGCACAAGGAAGTCATCCGGCCTGGTCCGTCGGACAGACACGTGCTCCTCCGTGATGCCGTAGTGCTCCTGAAGGTAGTAGAGCATCGCGACCGGGGTGACCGCTGGCCTAGTGCCAAGAACCAGCGCCAGCAGCGCGAGCGACAGCGCTTCCTCCGCCACCTGTATGGCCATAGTCCGTGGAACCACCACTAGCAGGAGAAGCGACGTCTTGGCCCTTGTCCTTGGCGACGCCGGTGGCTCCTCCACCCGCCTCAGCAGAGAACGGGGATAGCCACGTGGGTGGTCCGGCACATGGGAGGAGCCTACTTCCTCTGCGGTGCCAGGCACCACCCCGCCATCCGCACAGAAACCCGCTCCGAGGCTGCCGCCCGCCCCGGAGTGGCCACCGCCGGCAAGCGCATCGGCAGCAGCGCCATGAAGTGGGTCATCCCTCCAACGTCGTTTGTTGGCTCTTCGGACGCCACCACGCCCGGCTCCGGGGTTGGAGGCTCGCAAACAGGTGACACCGAAGGAGATCTACCCATGGACGCAGAACGCGCGGAAACGGTGTCCGTCGGCGAGGCGCGATGGGCCGGAGAGAAACGCCAGAACCTCGACCAGGGGAGCACCCCCGCTTCCCCACGCCACAACCCAGGAGGGAACAACCACGCTCCTGATGCCCCTCCCCCATGCAGTTGAAGCATCTAGATGGGAACGTGCACTCTGCCTTGACATGATTACCTGCAAGACAGTTGAAGCATTTGCCAACCAGGTTGGCGGGCACGGGGCGCCGCGGCGCCGCGACGCGCCGCCAACGCCTACAATGGTGCACCGCCCTGAAGACATCCACATCCGGCTCCACGGACATGCGTGGCGGGTGGATGACCACGGATGCCAGACGACCCTGCGCCGCCGGCGGTGATCCAGCGGAAGACCGAGGCGCATCCCAGAAGGCACTCCCCCGACGGGCGCGGCGGCGATGATGACGGCGTTGTTGATGAGGCAGCACGGCCGTCTTACCGTGGCCCGATGAAGGAGGTGCATCAGAGTCGCCGAACGATGCCTCCGAATCGGTGAAGTGTAGCCTCTCCGACCCTCCCGGGGAAGCAAAGAAGGGCTCCGCATCCGGGTCCAGGGAGCTCGCTTGGAGCACAAAGGAGGCGTGCGTAGCCGCCGCCAGGGGTGGGAACTCGAAGAGAGCAGATCTGCCAGCGCTCCGGGCCGTCTCTTCCTCGTCGACTTCATCCGCCCAGGAGTGGCGAGAACAGGACCCGGGCTCCATGGTGAGGTGGTCGGCACGGCCGAGAGGCCACGGCGATTGCTAGGGTGGACGCCGGGGCTGGAGTGGCCACAGGCAGGGGATGGTGAGGGAGGGGTGCCGAGCTTAGCTTATCGTTCAGGAGCGTGGATTCTAAAATTCTATGTCAAAAGAATACACTTTAGCTTCAAATATACAAAGACGACTATGTCACATTAACTCTTTTTCAATGTTATAGGTTCCTTGAAGGCAACTTTGAGAATTATGTGAGACAGATGAGAAAGCCTCATGCTTGGGGAGGAGAACCTGAGCTGTTCATCGCAGGAGTTAGCCAGCGATGGCCTCTGCGAGCGCAAGACAGGAACTAGGCAAGATTGATCTAACCATCAGACTCCATCAACCATCGACCTTCGACAGCTACCAAACCTTTGAACTCTCTAACATGAACATTTGTGTTGTTTAATTTTTATTTTTAGATTCTTATAATATGCATCGACCAAATTTCATTTGATCTAACCTTCGCAGGAACTAATCCTTTTTACATTCAATACTACAAGTCATATATGTGCCTATGCAGGTTTTTGAATGGCAGCCTTTGCTAGCCATCCAAAACTATAACCCGCTCATTCGAGAGCATTACTCTTTACCCTTAGAGTTTAACCTTTGCTTGAGCATGACCATCATTTCTGCAGGGTGCATGATATATTTACTCATTTTAATATTTTCATGCAAATGCACTCATTTGCATCATCACATACATACATACATCGCATAAGTGCATTGCCCCGCATGGCCCAGGCCACCTGGAAAAAAGTCTCAAAAATACGTGGACACCAGGACTCAATGCACCAAAACCCTGGAAGAAGTCCCAAAGTTACACAGGCACCAGGTACTTGGTACAAAGACCCAAAAAATATGGGCACTAGGTCGCGAAACTATGACTTTCGCACTACCCTCGTATATTATATGAAATAACTATACATCTTTTGCAGCAAGTAGAAAGCTAGTGTATTTTTTAGTGTCAAAAAACTTGCCTGCAAGTTGATATTGGATGAAGCTACAACACTCAAACTAAGTCCCTGAAAAATGCATCCTATCCACTTAGGTGCATTTTCACATGATTTCTCCGTCCTTCGGCAAAAAGGAACTTCACCGACATCTTCGGCTTTTACATCGACATCGCCTTCGCCAAGCTCTTTGGCATGATGGGCTTCGCCACCATCTTCACTGACTTCACCAACATCGCCTCCGCCAAGATACCTTTGCAGGAGGGCCTTCACCAACACCTTAGGCTAAACTAAAATAACTCGCCTCTGTCAACACGTCGGCACGAGGGGATTCGTCGACACCTTCGTTGTCTACACCAAAATTGCCCCCACCAAACACCTTTGCAGGAGGGTGTGCGCCAACACCTTCAACAAACCATAGTAACTCGCTTATGCCAACACATCGGCATGAAGGGGCTCTGCCGACACCTTTGTCATCTACACCAACATCGCCTCCACCAAACACCTTTATAGGGGGGTCTTCGGCAAGAGGGGCTTTGCCATCATCTTCACCCACTACAATGGCTTAAGAGCCTTCGTCAACACCTTTGGCATCAACACCCATGACGACTTACCATCATCGCCTAGCTCAAGGGGCTACACAACTCCTTTGGCACTAAGGTCTACTATGCCTTCGTCAACCACTTTGACTCGAGGGGCTCATCGGCAACTTCGGTCCGGACATCTACTTCCACTACTATGACTATGTCAACTACACCAAGGGCGACAGAGGATTCGGTCATGAGCACATGCCAAGAGGGGCTAGGGGAGCATACTGGAGGACCAGCCACTCTGGAACATGAAGTCTTTTTGTAGGACCGCTGGTTAGCCTAGAGGGGGGTGAATAGGCCTGTAAAAATTCAGCTCAAACAAATGTGAGAACTCAGCGCAACAGTGCTGCTCTATGCACAGCATTGCTGCCCCGCAGCACTGCTGCTCTGGCTGACACCTGAGACAATAGTTCAAAATCTACCCAACAAAAATTAGATCGGGTAAAATACTGATGTTCCTAGAGTAGTATAGAGCATATTCCATCACCTGGATGTTGGCGGAAGTGCACACACGAGTAGATTGGAACCAAACCCTAGAATCACCATAAACACAAATATTGCAAAACAAATCACAAGAACACAAGTGAGACACCGATTTATCCCGTGGTTCAGCTCGCCACTAAGGCTCGCCTAAATTCACGTTGTTGAGGAAGCCACTAAGGCTTGGGTTTCGTGAAACCCTATCCTCGTTCTTAAGTCAAGAGAATGAACTCTTGAGATGAGGGGAGATTTCAATAGCTGATTGGGGTGATTACAAACCTCCTGGGGCTGCCACATAAGTTGGCAAGCTCCACGAGCGACGCACTAGCTGGCTAGGAGCAAGCTCCAAGAGTAATAAACACAATCCATCGGCTTGAACACGAACCAAGTGCTTTAGGCGATGAAGAACAGTTGGAGCAGCTCTCTAATGAAGTTTGGAGGCTCAAGGGAATCAAGGGGAGAGATATTGGGAGCTTGGGAGCCTTCAATGGAGAGGTGAGGAGTGCTCTGGTGGTTCTGAGATGCAAATGGTCGTGGGTGACCATTGGGGGAGAAGGGAGGTGAAGGAAATACCCCCTTTTCCAATGGTCAGATTTTAAGGCGCAGCAGAGCAGCAGTGCTGCTCTGGCCTGTCAGCTCCAAATTGAAAACTGAATCACATGCTGACTAGGCAAGGTAAAAGAGGATGTTTGGTGGATTTTTAGCACTTGGTTGCATGTTGAAGTTTGCGCATTTGTATCCCCCTTTCTAGTATGGCTTTTCATAAACTCAACTTCAAAATAAAATGAATTATAAGGCCTTTTGAGTCGGATGTCGCGTCCTTTTGTAATTGGGGCTCCACCATCACATATGTTATCCTCCATTTGATTTTACCTGCTTGTCATCTCGATAATTTCGTTAGTCCCCTAATTGTGTGGTCATGATCACCAAAACCCACATTAGGGCTTGATTGCACTTACACTTTTGCGTGGCGCTCGAGAGAAGATACCGAAGATGAAGCCCCGAAGGTGAAGACCTCCGTGCCGAGAAGACCCTAGAGACGAAGACCTCCGTGCCGAGGACCCGAAGACGAAGACCTCCGCACCGAGAAGGACCTAGAGACAAAGACCTGCGCATCGAGATGATACTGGAGGAGAAGGTCCTAAAGGCGAAGACCTACGCGTTGAGCGAAGCCAATAAACTATGTCATACAAGCAGAGAAAGGAGTTGAAACCCAAAGATGAAGACATCTAGAAGATCAAGGCACTTGGAGCTAGAAGCCTCAGTAATTAGAACATGTATAGGCTACAGTGTGTACATGCTCTTTTCTCCATGCCTTTTTTCCCACAGCGTTTTTGGGATGGATTTTTTAGTGAGGCGCACATGTGAAGGTTGCGAAGGGCAACCCTCGCAACCAAGGTTTGAGCTGTATTATGCTTCTTGTATGAGCATCTACTAGGTCATGTAGTACCGGCCATAACCTAGTAGCCGAGGGGCTACCGTTGGGGGAAGTCCATATGGTATATGGGCCAACCCTCCCCCCTCGAAGAGGCCCAATAGGGGTTATTATAGTGGCTTGTGAAATTCACCCCCACCAAGGGGCCGTATGTAAATCGCTGTTACCTATATATATATATAGTGCCAAGAGCACAAGGGTAAGGAGGCTCCCTCACTCTCCTCTCCCATTTGCAAGCTCTAATGTGTCCCTCCTCTCTACTCTCTCCCTGACTTGTTCATATTAATTTGAGCCCATCTATCATGTATAGTTGGATGGTTTCGATGCTTTAGATCTATTTTGTATAGAACATCCAAGGATAAAGACAAGGAGGTTTTTGCTTATGTGCTATTATAAAAGTTCGATATTTCATATTGCCACTAAATTTTTTTTGGCAACTCTAGTAACACTCGTGAAAAACATTGTTGCTCTCCATGCCACTTCTATCACATTTGCTTCTAAGTGTGTTAAACTGTGATAGGAAAAATCCGAAATATCCTCAGATCTAAATGCCATGCGAAAGATTCTAGTTTCTCCAGTATCACTACCCAAATAGTCAGCCAGCCCATATAGAAGCAGCACACCACGGGCTCGGGACTTAAATTGACATTTGACTTAAAAAGATGCAAAAAGGCTATGCACAGTGTTAAGGTTTCATCAACGCAAATACAAAAAAATTAGTTAAGGTTCCACTGCAGAAGGAGAATCTGTTAAGGTCGACATAGTGGCTTCTAACTTGAGCCGTCCGAGTAGTCCAGCCCGAGACAATGCTTTCTGCTGATCATAGAGTAACCTAGGAAAATCATCCTGAATCATGATGATAAGCTTGTCTTCATCGACGTCAACAGTCGGGTGGTGCCAACAGTCTCTGACAAGCTTGAATACACCTTTAATGTTGTGCCAGCGCTGAGCACACACTCCGGTCAATGGGTGCACATAGGATTGAGTGATCCGTAGCAAGTCATTGACGCTATAGATTCTAGTGGAGGTACGTGGGGAACATGTTACAATTTACCGGTAGAGAGCACGGTCGGTCCGCTTGAGTCCTTCAATGATGCGACGAGATGTCATCAGAGTAAGCAGCTGCTGTCGCGGTTCCATCAAGGCTATTTAATATCTCAGAAGGTACCCTCCATCAGCTCGGACTCCATGTCCAATAAGCTCTAACCACCTTTCGATATCTATAGCTATTTGTCTCCAAAAGAAACATGTCTCGCACTGATCTGACAAAGGCTTCATCACAGTCCAAATTTCCAAATTTCCTTGTTGCGGTGTATATCTCTCAAGTGGATGCCTCGTAGTCAAACTAAAAGACAAGAACTGATCACATAGTTGTGAGCCCCAAATTGTCCATGAACTGATCACATGTCCTGTGACAAGTGTTAGCTAATCTACTGCCACCTTGTATGAATACAGCAGAGGAAGGCGGCACCGACTTAGCCGCCTGCTGTGTGTGAACACAGCAAGGGAAGG